TTTAGTTCTTCAGGTACTTCCATTTCCCTAACCTGACAGACATTTGCAGTTTCCCATCAAGCTTTGGTTGTCAGTAGGAGAGTTTGCTAATGTTCACATAGATTTCTGATGATGATAACCCTCCTGCTGGCATTAGTGGCTCCTCAGTTCTGTTCCTTAGTGTAGTACTTCTTATCACAGTTATTTACTTAAATCATGTGAAATGTGATCTGCAGTGAGTGTGTTCATGAAGTAACTTCCTCTGGAGTGCAGGTTGCCCAATGCGTGCCGCGTTAGAGCACTTCTGTTTGTGCAGTAGCCAGTCCTAAATGTGAAAATGGACCTGATGAGGGAGTGGCTTGCTCTGAGATGGTCCCTTGATTTCAAGGGGAAGGTTTCAAGAAGTTTGGCCCTTTCTGTGCTCTGACCTTTGGGCTGAGGCCCTTTCCCTCTGAATTTCCCTGAATTCCTTCAGCCTTAACGCTTGGGAGGCGGAAAGTGGAACTGTCATTCAAAGCTGTCCTTTGTGGAGGAGGAGCAGGGCTTGTCACGAGTGTGAGGTCTTCTGCTCTGCACAAATCGTTCCTCTGTGCTCAAAGAGGAAAACAGCAGGGCCCATAGCAGAACTGAGTCTTTGGGGACCATATTCAGGGTATCTGGTGTGCTAAGCCCTCCCTGTGTGATGGTGCGTGCGTTAGAGCTATGGCTGAGGTCTCCGATTTGTCTGATTTCCTCCTGTAGCGTTCTCAAACAGTGCAAAGATGTGGAGCTCTCCTTCAGTGATGTGACGGGCAAGCCTGATGCCTTCAAAGGCACCAAGAAAGGAATGCTGTACCTCACCCCTTACAGGGTAAGTCTGATGCCAATAGGGCTTCCCCTTTCCCAAGGGATCTCAAACTTTTGGGCCAGAAACCTAGTCAGTGACAGAAGTGATTTTTAAGTGAGGAATTACTGAGAGTGCTAGATAGGAGAGCGGATGGTGAAAATAGGAGAGTCTGTTCTTTTATCACTATTCAATTCCCTGCTAAGGCTCATGCCAGCCTGGAAATCACTACGTAGAGAATATATTTCATGTGATGCATCAGTCAGTATTAGTCTCTTTGAAAACTCTCATAGTTTATCCTTAAAAAATAGAACACTGAAAATGTGTGCATTTGTGTGTTAAGCTGTGTATTATTGTGGAACATAAGTGCTTCGGTTGAGTGAGCCATGCCCTCAAGTCTGTTCGGGATCCCATAGTGTGAAAACTATGCAACTGAAACAACAGCCTACATAATGACCCTAGGTGTTCAGTTCTCCACCGCAGTGTTTAAATTACCCTCTTTTTGGATACTACTACAACTAGAACTCCATAGTCAGCCTTTATATCTAAATCAACTACTTCAAAAGTGTTCCTTCCTGTCTTACAGATGATCTTTGTGTCGAAGGGCAAGGATCCCATGCTGTCCTTCATGATGCCATTTTATTTGGTGAAAGGATGCTCTATTGAGCAGCCTGTTTTCTCTGCCAATTACATCAAAGGACAGATTCAGGCTGAGGCAGGAGGTATGTGCCCATGCTTTGTAGACCAAACTCTTCCTAAGTTCCACAAGTCCTTTTCTGCTCTGCTGAACTTCAGATGGAGTGCTCACTTGCACAGGAAGAGTGAACAGTGTAGCTACAACAGTATGGCTAGCATGTGCACACTAAGGTGACTCCTGTCTTCTGAATTTTAAGATACAGTTTCAGTGTTACCTTCTGTCCCCAAAGCTTGTAACTGGCTTCAATAGGATGGCTCTTACTTGATCTTTTTAAATTCTGTCTTGCTGTGTAGTAAGTTGTGTTTACTTGGTTTCTGCATGTGTTTGTTTTCCCTTAGCTTTGACCTGAAGGGATGGCTGGTGACTTGGTCACTTAACTATTGGTGGTGTTAGATGTATTTAGCAACTAAATGTGGAGATCAGTAGACCCTTATCAACATGTGTATGTTTGTATACATCTCGGACACTGCTTTGTATTGTTGATTCAGCTTTGTTCACAACTTGATGATGACACTGATAGGACCTATAGCAAAGGCCATGAGACCAAAAATGGGGAATCGCAGATTAAAAAGCAGAGCTGTTGGTTCACGCTTCTTGCCTCTTTAGCCCCAGAACTAGTTTATGTGTACTTTGATGTATTTGGAGAGCTGATGCTCTCGTTTTGTGTTCCTAACAATGTTTTAGAGTAACTAGGTCTTCTGGATTGTGGATCAGCTGCTTTCTGATGCTGGAGTCATTCTAAGACAGTCGCTTTAAAGAGATGAACCTCCAAGGGAATCTATGGAGGATTGCTCCGTTTATTTCTACTTTTTTTCCCCCCAGGAGACTATCTCTACTTTTACTTTCTCAGCATAACTTCATTGTTAATTAGACAAGGGAAATTAATATTAAGCTTATGTTATGAAGCTTTTTATTTAAATGATGTCTTGTTTCTTAAAAAATTACAAAGCAAAGTACTCTTGTGCTTATCTTGTGATCTTATTGACTAATAATAAATTCTCTGAAAGTTTTTCATTATACCTAACTATTTATAATCTGCCTGAGCTCCTGTGGGGAAAAGAGATTTAAAATGCAGTACTTGATTCAAATCCTAGTTTGAGTTTCAGGCCCTGATCCATAGTCCACTGAGATCAGTAATAAAATTTCATTTGAGGGCTTTTGATTTAAAAAGTCCTCAAAGACCTCGGTGAGTGAAATGTTCTTTCTTTGCACTGTAATCATAATTAGAGTCTGTTAAACCTTTCAGGAAAAGACAGACCAAACGAGGATCTAGAATAGGATTCTTTTACATAACAAGATTGAACATCTTCTTTTAAAGTGTTTGGAGAAAAACAAAAAAAAGTCCTGATCTTCTTGAGACATTATTTAGAAGGTATTATTTTGGGGACCTTCTGAGACAAAAGCCATGATCTATTCTCCTGACAATACAATACAAAACTGTATTGAAATTCTAATAATGAAGAATAAGTTAATTTGAATATTAACTGTTTTGCTCTCTTAACCATTACTAAGGAGGCTAATTTCAATTAGTCTCTTTTAGTCTATTTTAATTCTGATTTTTCTCTCCTAGGTGGCTGGGAAGGGCAGGGGACGTTTAAACTGACTTTCAACAGCGGAGGAGCCATTGAGTTTGGACAGTTGATGTTCAAAGCTGCTTCCAGTGGTAAGGGATCTTCAGAGTCTGCAGTTCGCCCCTGCCTGGTTGGCTGGGGGAGGGGCCATCCCATGCACTCCTCTGCAAGAATGTATTCTGGGGGGGAACACTTGCTTTTCCTTCCAGTCCTTTTTCTTTGTTTCAGCTTAATGCTTAGTGTAACCAGAATATTCTGGAGTTTTTGTTTTTTGAGGTGATCTGTGTTTTTCTATGGAAACTTACTCCCCCTGGAAAAAGGTTGAAATATGTGACAATGAAAAATCTATCCAGAGCACTTATCTACCCTCAGCCCAATTCTCTCATAGTGGAAAGAGATGAGGAAAGATAGCACATCCACATTTGCAGAGGGCAAAACTAAATTTAAAAAATCATTTTTATTTAAATCTTTGAAATGGGGGGGGGGGGGGGGGCACTTGTTCCTCT